ACAATGTTCTACATTCTACTTTGGCCAAAAGCCACATAAGGTACAACTATTGGTCTCTCCATGTGTGGAAGAAAGAAGAGTAATGAAAACTGAAGATGCTTGGAAATAATTAGTCCAATGAACTAATGGAGCATGTGAACATCAGCCTCCACAACTGAGACCAGAAGGACTAGATGGTGCCCAGGTATCACTAACCATTGGTCTGAAAGAGATAACATTAGAAAGTCCCAGAAAAAGTGAGAGATAATTTGGAACAAAACTCAAAATTATAAAAAAGACTGGGCTTACTGGTCAAAAAGAGACTAGAGGAAGCGAGACTATGGCCCCCGGTCACAGGTCTGGAACAGAACTCACCCTCTTGGCCCAATTTTCAATCAAGCAGTACATTGGTATATAGGGAGACAACAATGAGGTATGCTCACCACGGAATGGTCATCCATTAGAAATCAAATGGGGACAAGGTTCAGAAGGGTTGGAAAGGCGGGTGAAATGGAAATAGGACCCACAGGGAGGAAGTGGGATAACTGCTGTTACGTGGAGGGAATTGCAGTCATTATGATGAAACACAGTGTGTGATTTGTTGGATGTAAAACTGATGTAGCACTTGCTGATGAAGATCAAAGACTACTTCACTCAATTCACAATAAAAAAAGTGTCAGAAAAAAATCAAAGAAATGCCTTGACACTTTTAGATTAAGAGTTACAAAATTTTAATATATACATGAGGTAAGTAAGAATAGCCTTGTTGTTATTGTTGTTAAGTGCTGTCGAGTCTGTTTCAACTCACAGTAACCTTATTTAGATTTCCAAGGAGCAGCTGGTAGGTTTGAACCGCCAACCTTGTGGTTCAAGCTGACCATGTGGTCCAGTGCATTATTCTGCAGTGCCAGGTGCTTGCTAAAAGTGCAGCTTCCTAATGTGACCCTTCTTCCAAGGTTCAGTACGTCAGGGACATTTAAAATAATCATTCGCATGATTCCTGACGTAAGTGATCCTTAGATCACATTTAAAAATATACTTTATTTTATTTACATAGAATCTATGAGTTGAAGTAGCAAAAAGGGAAAAGCTATAGGGAAGCTAATCAAAGGAACAAAATCCCAGGCAGAGCTGTCCTAACCACGTCTAAGTATACTGTTGTCAGAACTTCATTTTGTAACGCTGCCTTAAATAATACCAGTTTGTGGTTCACATGGCTTAACAGTGCATTCTTTTAAAAATGCAAATGATATCACTTTGTATCTGTCAAGTAAAATAAAAAATATAATATCCCATGCTAATAAAATATGGATGAAACTGGTATATTTGTACATTGCTGATAACATAAATTTGGCATAATTCTTTAAAAATATATAGTTGGTGATACTTTCAAGAGCCTTAGAAACTATTTTAAATGTTGATCAGTAATCACTCACCTGTAAATTTACTCTTTTGAAAAAACCATCCAAAATTAAGGGGGAAGTCAGCATCCTCCTTCCGGCCTTCAAGTCCCTCCTACTTTTCTCATAAATATACTTATTTTCTACAAGTAATCCTTGTATTAAAATTAGACGTTACAGACAAGTCCCTCAAACTCACTGCTGTCAATAAGATTCCGACCCACGGCAATCCTATAGGACTGAGTAGCATTGCCCATGAAACAGTAGAGGGTGTATAGGGCCACATCAGAACTCTAGGGATCCATTACTGACAAATAGGAAGATAAAAACCAACTCCTCCCAAATTCCCAGGAGAAATTGCTCTTAACATTTTGGTGTATTTTTTTCCAGCATCTGTTAAATGCCAATGTATACATTTTTTT